TGGGTTGATGGCTCAGAGCCTGGAGCCTGTTTCTGATTCTGTGTCTCCCTCTCTCTCTGCCCCTCCCCCGTTCATGCTCTGTCTCTCTCTGTCCCAAAAATAAAATAAACGTTGGAAAAAAAAAAAAATTTAAAAATCACAGAGACTTTTCAAACTAGGATTTTAAGAGTATGCATCTGCCCCAAAAGAAAGAATATTGATTGATCTGTAACTTCATTACCCCCCGCCCCCCTTTACACAATGACATACACGACTGAATTGTATTTTAGTTGTTTTTGCCCAGCAGGCTGCTTTCTCATGAGGTCTTGGCACCACCTAGTGGCTCTTTAGTCCATTGCAACATATGCCTTGGATAAAACAGTATCTTACAATTTACTATCAACATGCTTTGATTAACGCAGCAACTCAACAAAAATATACTAAATACAAGGCACAGGTTAGGGGCTCAGATCGGGCCTGGGGTGCAAGAATGATCAAATAACACATGGTCTCCCCGTCGTGAGGCTCACAGCCTAATAAACAAGTAAACAACCAAAGAATGTTGTGATATCATCAAGAAATAAACCCCTTCTGTGATAGAAAATAATGTAGGCAGGGGGAAGCCTCTCTGAGAAATATGAAATCAATTTGGAAGGATGGGATAAAAGGGGACAGGGGTGCAGAAACTGGGGGGAGAGGGGAAGGAACGTTCCATGAACACAGAGCACAGGGCATCCAAGTCCTGGAGTCACCAAGAGCTTGGTTATTCAAGGAACCAAAAAACAAGCCATTGGAGGGAAGAACAAGGAAAGTTCTATGTTTATAAACATTTCCTTGGTGAAAGCACGCAGATGGTTAGCGCGGTTCTTCCAGAACAGTACCTGGTTAAATTTTAACTTTAAAGAAGCGGGAAAGGGAAGATGCCATTACATGAACTTGGCTGTTTCCTCAGGTCCAGCAGGATCCTACCCAGGGCCATCAGTGTTAGCTGTGCCCCCACTCAAGACAGCCTACATCTGCTCCCACCCTGCACGGTTCCGTGTTACTGACAGGCTTCTGTGTCCTTGCCTAATTACACTGGAGCCTCATATTAAAAGTCTAGAACTGGTTCTCAACCCTGGCTGCCAAGTCACCTCTGGGAGCTCTTAAGAATCCCAGACACTGGGTCCCAGCCCTCACCAGTTAAATCAGCATCTCTGGGAAGTGGGCCCCAGGCCCCAGGGCTTGGAAAGCTCCCCAAGTGATTCCAGGTGCAGCCAAGTTTGAGAACTGATGATCTGGAAGGATACCCAGAGAAAATATTTTATATTCCCAAATAGTGAAGGTTATACATGTAATGAGCCATGTTGTTTTCTTTCAAAACCAGGCCTTCTCCCCAGGTGGAAGTCCCCACTCAGGGCCACCCGGCCCTCTCATTAAGTTCCCACCTAGCTGCTTCACAGTGCAGTCGACAGACCTGTGAGCTGGGCCTGCTAAAGGCACAAGAGTGGTGAGGTTCATTCACACCTTCCCAAGATGCAGGGGCTCCAAAGAGCCAGACGTCCTACCACCACAGCCTCAGCCCAAGTCACACATCAGAACAGCCTTGGGGCTTTAAAGAAATACCACTGCTTGGGCCCAACCAGAGACTGCTTTCTGGAGGAAGAGGCCTGGGCTGTCCGGTGATTCTAACGTGCAGCCAGGACTGAAAGCCACGGTTGTCAAAGAGACCCGTGCTACTGACTTCTGGAGAGAACGGCAGTGGCCAGAACCGCTGTGTAACTGGGGGTGGTGCTCTGAGTAACCCGAAGTTGCTGGTCTTTGTTATCTTCTATCACCTGCTAAGCAGCCCAGTCCCGACCAGTTAAGACCACAGCAGAGTCCACCCAGCTGTCAACTGCCCACCTCACTTCCCCCTGGCTGGGAAGAAAGGATCCCTCCCCCCAGGCTTGCAGCAGCCAAGTCAGCAATACAATGAGTGCATGATGGGTCAGTTACCTACAATAAAGGTATGAACATTCAGGGTCACACTAAACAAGCTCCATAAGGAACTGGCAATATGCACTTAACCTGCACAGGTACCACGTAGGATTTCAGATGAGCAATTACCAAAGCTTTTTTTTTTTTTGAGAGAAAGGTGTGCACGAGCAGGGGAGGGGCAGAGGGGGAGAGAGAATCCAAAGCAGGTTCTGCACTGTCAGCACAGAGCCCAATGCGAGGGCCGAACTCACGAACTGTGAGATCACGACCTGAGCCAAAATCAAGAGACGCTTAGCTGACTGAGACACCCAGGTGCCCCATGAAGCTCTTTTATTTTACCGAAAACTAGACGCCCTCCTCAAGTCCTGGAAGGATATGTACCAGAAAGGTAACAGTGGTTACATCTGGGTGGTGAAAATCCAGGTGATTTTAAGTTTGTTGTTGTTGCTTATCTGCATGTTCTAAGTTTTCTTTTTTTTTCTAAGTTTTCAATGATGAATATGTATAAATGTAAAAATATTACTTATGTAAAAGCTGAGCATGACCCTACAGAATCAGTTTCTCACACAACTCAGGAAGTGTGTAGCTGGTCTCCAGGCGTTCAGCTCACAACTCTGCTTTTTAGGACACTTCCTGATTTTGCAAACTCTGAAGACTCTGCCCCCATGACAAGAGGCCAGGAGCCACACTACTTTTTTGGTAGCTCTGTAGCACTCGTAGGATCAAAATAAACATGTTTATTCATTCTACTGCTGTAGAGAATAAGACCATTCCTATGTCTTTTTCATAGAAGAAATGCATCCTTCACTGAATATGTGCATATGTTATCAGTGTTTTGCAAACTATAATCTATGAAACCGGTCTTCTCTGGACAATAGGTATAAAAAAACAAAACAAAACAAAAGGGGGGGGGCAGGTCTGTGAAAGATTTTCCTTCCTGCAGGTATCTGCAGGGCCTTGAGTACACTCATTCATTGTGAATCTTCAATAGGAGAATATGGAATACAGCTTTTCCCCAATTTATTTAGCCATCACATTTTTCCAGGAAACATCTCCAGGGGCCAGAGCTCCCACGAACAGATTTTGGGAAATGCTAGTCTATCCTTTCAGCACCTAGTTCTTTGACCTTCTACCACAAAACAGAGTTAACTGCCCTGTTCATGATGCAGGCAGCAGGCCCCAGGCAGGGCGCTGCACAGAATGAGGTCAGGTGATTCACAGCACGCTCAGACTTCTGTCATCCAGAGAGCTAAGCCACAGATGAAGTGGCTCAGAGCCTAGAAAACAAATTGAGGAATGGTCCAATAAACGTTCACAATGGAACATCAGGTGACACTTTAATTTATTCTGTTTACAGACACCCCTAAGTTACACTATTTTTTTCAGTCTCATTTGGGTTGGATACAAATACATCCAGAGGCATGGCGAGAGGAGAAACATCAGACATTTCATTAGCTACTGTAACACTTGCTGTCTCTCTCCCCAACTCGTCACCCCCAAAGGCATTTATACCAAATGCTACTGCAAAAACCCAACGCATTTACATGAAATAATGCTTAACTGTACAGTTAAGTTAAAAAAACAAACCACACTCAAACTCTGCTAGAAATGTGTGCTTGGAAGACAAGGGTCTGACGGTGTGACATACACGTGGATACTAAAAGTGAATGAGCACCTACTTTCTCCACAAGTGAAAAAACCAATGACTCTACTCTTCCTGTGGGACAAGATGAGACCTTCACACCCTGCTCAAACGTCAGGTGGACATCATGACTGCATGAGTGTCTAAAAGCAGCTTGTTATTTTAATCATCACCTTGCAGGGACACCTGGGTGGCTCAGTCAGTTAAGCATCCAACTTCAGCTCAGGTCACGATCTCATGGTTTGTGGGTTCAAGCCCCACGTTGGGCTCTGTGCTGGCAGCTCGGAGCTTGGAGCCCACTTCAAATTCTGTGTCTGCCTCTCTCTGCCCCTCCCCCACTTGCACTCTGTCTCTCTCACAAAAATAAATAAACATTAAAAAGAAAAGTCATTACCTTGCAGAATGCTGCAGTATACAGCCACATTCCCCAAAGTGTGTTCCTAAAAACACTGGTCCTACAAAGTGCTCCTTGCAAAACGAAGTTTGGCATCAAAGAGATTTAGAAAATACTGTAAGCTGTTATCCACTTCCTGGAGAGGCACAATGTGCATTATCACATGGAAGGTTCTAGAAATCCTTTAAAAAGAAATTGCTTAACTGGGTTTAATCCAGTTTCCCAAATCAATCTGACCTCGGAATCTTTTTTTTTTTTTTTTTAGATAACACATTTCATAGAACATATTTTGAGAAACCATCCTCTACGGTGTTTTTGAGAAATTCTTTGCAAAAACAAAAAGCACAGAAAAATCCAGAAACTCCTAGAATCATGCGTTGTTCAACAGCAAAGAGGACAAACGGTCCTAAAGATCAGCACCCCATTCAGATTCCACCCCAACACCTCTGCCATACACCGAGCCTGCCTGAAAATGGGCAGCAATAAATTTTCCACAATTTCCGTCTGCATGGTGTAAAGCGTTAGGCATGCGGGTTCCGGTATGGAATTGAACATGGTCCAGACGGGGAACCCAATTTCATGCACAGAGGCCAGATGTTTAGAGCCTTTTCCTCTTCTGCAGCAATCAAGTCATTAAACAACCACTGTTACTTATCACACATCTATAAGGCTTTTCAAACAGACTTGACAGCCCTTTGTTCCTTATAAAAAAGGAACAAGAAAACGGGAGAGCTTCTGATTATTTTCAGCAAGAATTACGCAGACCAAGAAACCAAAATATAAAAGCTATGTGGCAAATAATTTTAAAGTGTTGAGCAAGGGCAGGGAAAGATGGAGACCAATGATCTTGGAATAATGGAATGATGTCAGTATTTCATCACATGCATAATACAGAATTCTTTTATTCTGGTCTCCAAGGCATTTCACGCGGTATTTTAAAACAGAACATGGCAAAAACAAAGCTCTCCAGTGGTGGGACTTGGCAAACAGTTAACATCTACGCCCTGCAAGGACGTAAACCAGCATTCACACCTCCACGGCAATTCTCGCAAACCGATACTGCAAAGAGGCAGGGGCCCTCAGCAACACTAGGCCCCTCTCTGCGGCTGGCTGGCCGGACAGCATATCCAGCAGACCCGTCAAGCTAACAAACCCCAGGGCTTCTCCACAGCCCACAGCCATGGAGAAATCTCCCTGGGTGACAAAGCCAAGGAGAACTCTGGAGCAATGAGAAGTCACATCCGGGAGAGGGCCTGACCACAAGCCCAGGGTCAGAGCGTGGTGCCCAGCCGCAGGGTATGCCCCGGCCGGACCCTCAGACACAGTGCACCCTCGGTTCTGCCTCTTCTCTATTTTCTTCTTCTCTTTATGTTTCCGGATCTTGCTCTTGAATGGGTCACTGTGCTTGGATTCGTGGGGCCCACAGTACAGCCGATCCTGACTGAGCTGGAGGAAATCCTCCTTGGCTGGAACACAGATCATGGTGTGCGGCTCGGGGCTGCCCTTCCCCAGCAGGGACAGGCTGACCCATACCAGGGCCCTGGGGAAACGGTCCAAGATGGACAGGCAGGCCTCTCTGGTCAATGCTTGCTGCCCGCTGCTGGGAGCTCGCTGGGCTGCCCAACGGGGTCCAGAACTGGGCCCACACCAGGCTGACAGCTGCTTCAGTGATTTTCTACTCCTATATGGAATTAGAGACACACGTTTGAGGATATTTTGTTTGAGGAGAAAACATGCAATTAGAAGATTGGGCACTGCTAGAGTTAATTTGACTTTTTTAATACTCTACGTGGGAAAGGATCAAAACTGTAATTTTTAAAAAATTAAAAACAGACATTAATACACTTCTATAATGATATTTTTGTTTTTATGTGACTACTATTCTTAGACACTGAAGGATTAAAGGTTTAAGAAGATGAAGGCAGAAAAAAAATAAGACAGAAAGACAGAACCTAAGGCTGAGAGAAATAGTTATAGGGAATGAAGGATATGAAATTCTAAGGTTACTGTATAAAAAATAAATATAAGGCAAGAGAGGTGAGCACTTATTAAAAATATGAGCACAGACTAGAAGGTAACTTAAGCACAGTCTAACAGGCTACAGCAGGAACATGTCTTGTACGGTAGCCTCTTCAACGTGATGATGGTCCAATGAATGGGCACTTAATCGCTCATAAATTCAGATCACTGAAAAGGAACTAGAAAAAATCTAATTCAGTGATTTAAGGAAAGAACACTTGCTCAGAGCTTTGAGAGGTTCCTCATTACTGAAGGTCACAGTCACGAGGGTACTGCTTTCTAAGCAAAGACCAATGAAACAGGTCACAGGGAACAACTGCCTTGGTTTATGTCTATGGATGACAATACTTTAAATCATTTGGTCAGTTAGTATCATGCCCCAAATCAAATGTGACTCAGCTATTTCCCTGAGCCCTCTATGGACACTGGAGGACTGGCTTTCCCCTCCAGAAAGTCCATGCATTCCCTTGGGCTTTGCATAAAGGAACAAAGATAACGTTTACATCCTGTAGCCCGGTCAGTATTAAAACAGACAATCTAGAACACATCCGGAAGTCGTGTGCACTTACCTAAGAACGCAGAGGAGACCGCTGGTGGCAGCTGGTCCTGTTACCCACTCAGTCCCCATCTGGGCTGGACGCTCTGTGTCCATCACTTCTCTGGGCTCGCTGGGGCTGCTCAGAGACATGCCCACTTCATCAGACAGCTGATCGGATTTTTCAGGCGTGGGGGTACAAGGCACCTTCTCTCTTTTCAAGTTACTCTCCTCGCCACGTGGAGAGGAAGCTACAGGTGATTTCTCTTGGGCCTGGACTCTTGATTCCCACTCTTGAGTTAACTGCTCCCAGGGATAGCAGAAAGGTGCCAGAGTGCCAAGCTTAACATAGTTGGGCCGTTTTGCAGGAGGGCGCCTGGTGAAAATCAAGGAGGAGAACCAATTTTGAACAATTTAGGATTGGACCATTAAAATAATTACGGCCACTTGTACTACATCTCTATTTAAAAAACAAACATACAAAAAAAATGTTTTCCAAGAAATACGATAAAGAATAACCACCAACTCTACTGGCCAAGCTTATGTTTTCTTCAGTTTTAATTTGATTTTATTTATTTTTATTTATTTTTTTTATTTTAGAGAGAGAGAGCACACGAGCAGGGAACAGGAGCAGAGGGAGAGAAAGAATCTTAAGGAGGCTCCACACTCAGCACAGAGCCCGAAGTGGAGCTCGATCCCATGACCGTGAGGTCATGACCTGAGCTGAAATCAAGAGTCAGACACTCAAACAACTGAGCCTCCCAGGCACCCCTCTTTAGTTTTATTTATTTTTTTTTTTAATTTTTTTTTCAACATTTATTTATTTTTGCGACAGAGAGAGACAGAGCATGAACGGGGGAGGGGCAGAGAGAGAGGGAGACACAGAATCGGAAACAGGCTCCAGGCTCCGAGCCATCAGCCCAGAGCCTGACGCGGGGCTCGAACTCACGGAGCGCGAGATCGCGACCTGGCTGAAATCGGACGCTTAACCGACTGCGCCACCCAGGCGCCCCTTTAGTTTTAATTTCAAAAGGTAATGCATCCACAAAGTGGCCCCATGTGGCCTCTGCACAACTCCAGGGAGTGCTGTTCTTGAAAGACTACAAGCGAATGGTGTCCCTGGAGTTGTGCAGTTGGTGTCCCTGCACATTACAACATTCTACGTTCTAAAGGAACAGAAAGGATGGTGGTGAAGTTTCTCCCTCACTCTTGACCTGTGGCTGGTGAAAAATGCTCCTGGGGTACCTGCCTCACTCGAAGACCTTTAAAAGGAAATTAATGAACCAGCTGCCCTACAAGAGATAGTATCATTTCTTAACATACCCTTCTGGAGACATTTTCTGTACATATGTGCAGATACGTACGTATTTCTTTCCTTTTTGTACCCATTTTACACAAATGTCAGCTCATGATCTCACAGTTCCTGAGTTTGAGGGTGCAGAGCCTGCTTTGAATTCTCTCTCCCTTTCTCTCTGTCCCTCCCCCACTTGTACTCTCTCTCTCTCAAAATCATAAATAAACTTTAAAAATAAATAAATAAAAGTTGGTGATATCCTATGTTACTGGGAGTAAGGGGAAGCAGGCACTCTCCTAACTACAGATGAAATCCTAAATTAACACAAACAGTAATTGTCAATAGTACAACAAATCCTTGAGATGTGTATCTTTTTTTTTAAACCAGAGAGCTTATTCGTGGGATTTAGCCTAAGGTCAGTGCTTTCTTCCCTTCCAGCTCCTCTCCAGAGGCAGCTGTTTGGTTTTTACATCCACGGGCCTGAGTGGAGCAGATGTCCTCCTGATGCCCACAGACCATCTTTCCTCTCCTTCCTCCCCCCAAGACCCCAGCCCCCTGAAGCACGTGACATCAGATAAACCACTGGCTCTCCCTCCTCAGCCAGGTCCCCCATCAGCTGCCCACACACCCACTCCTAGTCCAGCCCACCTACCCCTCCCCACCACGAGTCAAGCACTGGAGTTTACTGTACATTTACATCTCCTCACTGTAAACCACCACGCTGCACCTCTCCTTACAAAGCTCAAACTCTCCTGTTCGTGGACCCTCCACTCACCCCACCTGGCAAAGCCCATCTGGTTACATCCAACCCTCCACCCACCCCACACCAGCCCCTGATGGGCAGAACACAACTGGGGAAGAAGACGCAGCAGTGCTGAACAGTCCTGTCGTAAACACAAAACTCAAGTGGACTACCTTACACTTCTCCAGTCAGTTCTATGTTCCATGCTCCTGGAAAACTGTCCACGTCGATTCTTTTCTCCTCAGATCTCCAGCAGCCTCTGGTCCCTTCTTATTCCTAGCTGATACCCTTGCCTCTCTGTTCACTGAGAAGACAGTCACGATCAGAAGAGTAGTACCTAATCTGCACTACCGTCTACCCTACCTAAATCTGCATTCACGTCTCACTCAGCGCCAGACTTCCAGCCTGCTAAAATGAGATCTGAGCCTGACCCTATAGAACACCATCCCCTCTTCCCCACTCAAGAGCTTTGCTCTTGCAAGGTTAGCCTCCCTCCGCTCTCCTGGATCCCTCCCACCAGCAGGGAAACATGTGCTTTCATCAAGAATATAAGCTCAGTGGGTGGCGTCTGGGTGGCGTCTGGGTGGCGCCTAGGTGGCTCAGTCAGTTGAGTGTCCAGTTGAGCTTCTGACTCTTAATTTCAGCTCAGGTCATGATCCCAGGGTCGAGCCCCACATCGGGCTCTGTGCTGAGTGTGGAGCCTGCTTCAGATTCTCTCTCTTTTGCCCTCTGCCCCTCCCCAGCTCTCGCATGCATGGTCTCTCGCTCACTCTAAAACAAAAAAACAAACAAAAAGAGTATAAGCTCCAGGAGGCAGGAACAGACCTTGCCTGCCTTCCCCTGCTGTAGCCCCAGTGCCTACAAGGTGTTTGACACATAGCAGGTTCTAAATAAACATATATTAAATGAATGAATAAACCAGACAAAGGTGTAAAGATGTATATGGAAAGCTATTTATAAAAGCACATAGCACAAAATAAGAAATAACCCAAAGGGCCACTGATAAATTACAGTACACCCACACTGGAGTCCTGTGCAACTGTTCAGATGTATTTTGAGCAAGGGTTGGCAGATTATGACTCACACATCAAACCTGGGCTGCTGTCTGCTTTTAAATGACCCGTGAGCTAAGAAGCTTATACATTCTGAAATGGTTTAAAAAAAAGAATATTTTATGGCACATGAAATTACACGAAATTCAAACTTGAGTGTCCGTAAACAGAGTGAGACTGGCACACAGCCATGCTCATTCATTTATGCATCATCATGTGTGGTTGCCTTTGTAACACAACGCAGGGCTGAGCTGAGCAGCTGCCATAGAAACCAAAAGGCCCACAAAGCCAAAAATACTTATCATCTGGCCTTTTGTGAAAAAAGTTTGCCAACACTTGGTTTAGAGTCACATTTATGGATATGGGAAAACCATCCGTAATACATTACTAAATTAAAAAAGCAGGTTTTCAAATAGTATTCATACTATAATCCCTTTTCAAAAAAAATTATACCTAGGGGCACCTGGGTGGCTCAGTGGGTCAAGCATCTGACTTCGGCTCAGGTCATGATCTTGCAGTTTGTGAGTTCGAGTCTTGCATCAGGCTCTGTGCTGACAGCTCAGAGCCTGGAGCCTGCTTCAGATTCTGTATCTCCCGCTGTCTCTGCCCCTCCCCTGCTCGCTCTCTCTCTCTCTCTCTCTCTCTCTCTCTCTCAAAAATAATACACATTAAAAAAAAAGTTTTAATTGTACCTCAAAGGCAACTCAGTGGCTCAGTCAGTTGAGCACTGAACTCTTGATTTTAGCTCAGGTCATGAGCTCAAGCCCTGAGTTGGGCTCTGTGCTGAGCATGGAACCTATTTAAGATTCTCCCTCTCTCTCTCTCTCTCTCTCTATCCCTCTCTGCCCCTCCCCAATTTGAGCCTGCACGTGCTCTCTAAATAAAGAAGTTAAACATTCTAGAAAAAAAATATTTGTACTTAAGAAAAATTTGTATGTGTGAAAAAAAATCTAAAGGATGAGAAGTATTACTGTCGATTACTTAACAAACACATCGAAGTCCAGAGCTACGTATTATAGGAGGCACAGATTACATGATTACTGCCCTCTAAGAGCCTGTAAGCCAGCAATCCAGGAAAGTGTCTCTGTGCTTTCACTCACTCACTCATTCACCTATCCCCTGACAAAGTCTGAAAACCAGGCACTGCCTGCCTCTGTGGCTGCGTGAACAGGAAAGCACGATAATTGAGCTCACGGTCAAGGAACTACAACGTCCCACTTTCTACTCCTTCATCAATCAACTAATACAAGCTATTAAGGACACTGTGCACCAGGCACTGGCTAGACGTCGCAGATTCCACAACAAACAAGAGAGTTTCTGTTTCTGGGAGCCCACAGAGTCAAAGGATATAGGTTCTCAAAGTTAGCATGCACTTCATAGTATAAGGGTTGGTGAAGCCCCTCACTGGCCACTCTCCCAGTGAGAAAAAAGAAAAGAAAACTCAGTCTAGATGGATAGATACCAAAATGCAAAAATAGTGCTTATCTCTTTGGAAGGAAGGACTACACCAGTTTACAAAGCATTTTTGCACATTACCATAGTTTCAATAAAGTTTTAAAACTATGGGGGGCGCCTGGGCACTCAGTCAGTTAAGCATCTGACATCCGACCCAGGTCATGATCTCTGCTCAGGCCATGCTCTCGCTGTTCATGAGTTCAAGCCCCACATCGGGCTCTGTGCTGACAGCTCAGAGCCTGGAGCCTATTTCAGATTCTGTGTCTCCTTCTCTCTCTGACCCTCTTCTGCTCACCATCTGTCTCTCTCTCTCTCAAAAATAAAGAAAAACAGGGGCACCTGGGTGGCTCAGTCGGTTAAGCGTCCGACTTCAGCTCAGGTCATGATCTCGTGGTCCGTGAGTTCAAGCCCTGCATCAGGCTCTGTGCTGACTGCTCAGAGCCTGGAGCCTGTTTCGGATTCTGTGTCTCCCTCTCTCTCTGCCCCTCCCCTGTTCATGCTCTGTCTCTCTCTGTCTCAAAAATAAATAAACGTTAAAAAAAAAAAAATTAAAAAAAAAAATTAAAAAAAAAGAAAGAAAAACATTAAAAATTTTTTTTAATTTCATAAATATGTTATTACCTCAATAACCAGTTATAAAAAAACACAAATTCTATCTCGAGGGGGCAGGGGCTGGTAGTGGAAATCTTGAACAAGTGTCTGAGACTCAGGCCCATAGTTTTAGGCATGCACCATCATCAATGTCAGCAAATGACCAAAGGAAGGGTCTATCGCCTGGAAGGGCCAGATGTGAGACAATCCTAACTTAATTACGTCTTGGTCATGTGAACTAAGAACTAAAAGAAGTCTATGAAAACTCCACGTAGTGTAAGAGTTACCGAAGCTATTCCAAATGTCACTGGCCAAAGTGAGGAGGCCCTTCCCTTCCTCTTAAGACATTAGGAACCAAAGAAGCCGGTTTCTTACCTTTTGTACTTTTCAAGGAGACCCTTGGCTTGCTCTTCAGCAAAAAGAACCCCAGCAGGGCAGTCTGGGAAATCACCAGGGACGTCAGGCGATCTTTTATACTGAGAATGCACCACAGCCTCTTTTAACCCACCAACTCTTGCACCTCGATAGATCTAAAAGAAATGTCAAAAAGATCTTAACAACGTACCAACTTACAGTAAAATTAGTGCTTAATGTTTGTTTGGGGAAATGGGAAACAACCTAAATGCCCATCAAAAGGGAATGGATAAGTGTGGGATAATCCTACAAGGGGTTATACAATAGTAAAAATGATGACACAGAGCGTCACCCATCAATATGGAAAACTCTCAATGTTGAGTGAATATGGTTAAGTTGTAAAAGCATATATATGGTGAGATATATAAAGTTTAAAAACATGTCAAATATAGTTACTTTATTTTAGGATACAAGCATGCTTAATAAGCTATAAAAATAGGCAAGGTAGTGACAAACACTGGAAATAGGAATAGTGATTCTTTTAGAAGGAGGGTGGGAAACAGAACTGGACAGAAAAGAGAGAAAGTGCTTCCAATAAATCTGTAAGTTGAATGGTGGGTGAAGGGTACACAGGTATTCATTGTATCAGGATTTATACTTTTTTGTATGCTTGAAACACTTCATAATTTAAAAATTAAAATTATTTAAAAATATTCCCATTCTTTTTTTTTTTTTTTTAAGTAAGCTCCATGCCCAACATGGGGCTCGAACTCACAACCCTGAAATCAAGAGTTGCATGCTCTACTGACTGAGCCAGTCAGGTGCCCAAGAAATATTCCCATCCTTAAATGATTAACTGAGTATCTCTTGTACTAGGCATAATTGCTAAAATTAATCACCTGTGTGAATTAACAGTTGTACATGTCTTTTCTACTCTCTTAAAATAATAAACTATTTGGAAGAAAAAAACACACTGGATTTTAATAAAAATTTTAGCTGCACTTAGGAATATATGGTCAGCACTTAAAAATGAAAAATGTATTCTATATATCCATAAACATTAGAAAATTATAAAAATTCTTTTTTTTTTAATGTTTATTTTTGAAGGAGAGAGAGAGAGACAGAGTGTGAGCAGGAGAGAGGCAATGAGAGAGGGAGATACAGAATCTGAAGGAGGCTCCAGGCTCTGAGCTGTCAGCACAGAGCCCAATGTGGGGCTTGAACCTGAGGCGAAGTCAGACACCCAACTGACTCAGCCACCCAGGTGCCCCCAAAATTCTTTTAAAATGTAACAAATTTATTCAATTAAAAAAAAAAAAACAACTTCAACATTTTGTTACCACTACTATTCAAAAATCAGGACACTTTTAAAATTTCAGAAATCCACATTATGTCAGCCCAACTCTTATTAATGAAAATCTGGCTCCAGGGACTTTATGAAGTATCTCATATCAGAATCATAGCTCAAAGGGTAGAAAAATAGAACTCAATTTCTAAGTTGTGCGTGATGTCTGGAACACTTTCAGCTCTTGGTATTTACTGGGAATGTATTTTACACACTGTAAAGTCGGAATCGAAAAGGAACTTACAAATGGAATCCAGAAAGCCATGCCCCAGCCCTTTGGGAGCAGGACATCCCAGCCACTTCCCCAGCCTCGTCGGTCGTCACCAGTCACCCTTCCTGGCTGTTGAATCAAAAGTATAGGTATCTTGGATTCACGGGGACCTAAAACAAGCTGTGACCCGGGCACCAACAATTCACTTCTCTTCCGGTTTAAATCCTAAAGTGGAAGAAAATAATTCAAGACAAACAACCCTAATTTTCTGGGAGATTCTACTGGTTCTCCCTATAAGCAGCTTTAGAAAGTTAAATGCTCTTTTAAAAAACAAGAAAAAAATGTTCTCAATAAATAAATGTGAGCCATTTGAAATATATGGTATTCCTCCTACAACAATTTTCCTCTATACAAGAGATTGGTTAGAAAATGCCAAATTATCTTAAATTTGAGCTACAATATACCAGATGACTCAAAGCTATAAAATAATATACATCCATTCTACTAATCTCTTCTATCAGGATTAATCTTATCTTCTGATTCTCAGTCCCTACATTTACTTTGGTTAAGATCTGTTGTCATGAGGTGAAAGAGGTACATACAATCAACAACTTTTTCAAGGAGGGGCAAGTGGGAAAACGCTCTCACCAGGTTTTCTCACCAGGTCTTAAAGATTTAAAAGAGAAGATGCTATAAATTATTTGTTACGTGTACTGAAGGGAGCAGTGAACAACACCATCTTAGACTTTCTTGCCAGCTGTAAAAACAGATGAGCAGGTAGGAGAGAAGCCTAGCACTCACCGGAGAAACTATGCAAGAGACTGCCTCCGTGTTGCCAAGTCTAACTGCTCCCTCAAGCCTGACCAAGCCCTGATTCTCCCTTATTTTTACTTCTGGCTGAGTTTTCACTACCATCTCTACATGTTGTTAATTCCAAAATATCTATCTCCTTAGCCGGGACTTTGCCTCCTGGGATCAAAACTTGTCCTCTGGGCATCTGCTCTGGAAAGTCCTGAGGACCTTCACATTCAGTTTACCCCAGACTGAAGTTGTCCCCACTGCATCTGCTCTCCTCCCATGTTCCCCACCTAGCTGAATGATGCCACAATTGTTCAGTCACTCATTCATTCGTCCATTCTCATATTTACTGCCCATTCATTTACTCATCCATTCGAATGTTTACTGAGCACCATTTTTGTGCCAAACGCTCTTCTAGAACTTGGGAATGCAGCTGTGACAAATGAGGCTCTGGCTCTCTTTTACCTGAGGTGCGGAATCTAAGCTAGACTGTCAGGAACTAATCTACCAGGCTCCTCTTTTCCCACTTCCCAGCATCCAAGCAACCACTGTGTCTTGTCAGATTTACCTTCAGGAGTCTGTATTCAACCCCAGGCCCTCCACTCCAGCCACCCTGCCCCAGTTCAGGCCCCCATCACATCCTCAATTAAGCACTATTTCCAAGGTCTCTTTTAAGGCCATCCAACCACACGTCCTCTCTCCAGCTCCTCCGCCTCCAGCCCCATTCCTACCTAGTCTAATGCATCTTCCACAGTGCTGCCATGTCTGATCATGTGGCCGACTTAAAACCTTCCCATGGCACCTGATATCTTCTGTTCAAATCCTTAAAATGCCTCAAGGTCTTTTATGCTCTCGCCCCTATTCACTTCTTCATCTCCTGCCTCACCCTCAACTCCAAGCCACCAATCTACTTGGATATTCTTGAACACATTATCCTGTTTTTAGCCTGGGCCCTCACACATGCTGGTCTTACTTCCAGCAATCCTTTCTTCGCTGCAGCCTTGGCTCCTGGCCCCAAGAAGTCTTGCTAATTCTGACCACCCATCTAAGAGCTCAAATTCCAGCTCCTCTGTCCAAGAAGCTTCCCCAATTTCCCTCACCTGGGCTTCCGGCTTCCCTTGACCCTATACTTTTTCGAACATACCCTAGCCATCTATCCCATCATCTACTATGATTCCTGGTCCTGGTAGGAGCTCAATCATTGTGAAATTAAAGATAGTACATTTATAAGGGGGGAAAAAAACAATAAAAGAAAAATGTATTTAAACCATGGGATTATCATTTTAAGAAAAATTCTCTGTGTTAACTTTTTAGAGAGATTATTCTTCTCTAAGAATAGAAAAAAAATCATAAATAAGGGATCAATAGATTAAAAATAAAAGAAGTCTATGAGATTCTATAAAGGATGAAATAACTTTTACAGCATCTAGAGTGAGGAATTTCAACCTGTCTTCAGGACTTTACCAATAATCCTTACACCATTAGTTACCTGATCCGAGATTTTATTCTCTGTGACATTCTTACAGATAGCTTGGTTCCAAATAAAGCTATGCGCACAGTCCACAGGCACACCCTCCAGAAGCAGCTGTCTAACTTTCTCATTATCTAAGAGGGAAAAGAAATAGCCTTCAAACTACATCCTTTAGATCAATGAAGTCAAACTATAAACATTGCCGGCTGACCTTCTGTTACAAGAAAATGTTCTGTAGGCACTCAACTTCTCTAGAAAAATTTACTCTAGAAATTATGTTATCCCTATAGTTGGCTTCATACTAGTCTGTGAAATAGCAAAGCCTCCTAAACTTATTATTTCTGATATTTATTTTTAATGTAGAAGATATAAACATCATATTCAACTGCCTCTAAATAATTGTCTAATTCCACATTTAAGATAACCAAATTCTAGGAACTACTGCACAGGTGAATAATTTCTTTATAATGTGCTATGACAGTACAAGCCACATTTTAACTATTGGTTTCAGGGTTCTTAATATCATTCTTGGCCCAATGGTGGTGAGCCAACAGATACCAGCCTTCTCTTCTGCCCTATTATTTCAAGTCTCTTAAAACCCTTTCTCACTGAGTATTTATTCCTTCTGTAAAACATGTTTTTCCCACTCCTTTAAGATGAGCGTATTTTCTGTGAAATCTATCGCTTCTTCCCTTTAAATAAGCTACACCGTGCCAAAAAGTACTCTAGTGGGAAGAAAAGGAGAAATTTTTTCAATTATAAACATATATATTGATAGATGAGATTTCCTACATGCAGTCCACTAAGGGTAAAAAATCTTCCAGATCTTATTTTTTTGGACTGAAAAATTAAAAGAAAAAAAAAAAAGAAGGAAAGAAAGACAATTCCTGAGTTTGGGCTAAGGTCTAAACTGCCTATAAAGAAAGGTCACTCAAAGGCACGTACCTGCATGGGTCTGATGGCCAGAAAAAAATAAGTTGGAAGTGACTGAGCCACAGTGTGACAGATTTCAGGGGAGAACAAAGATAGAGAATATTAAATTGATGAAAAGATCTGAGATAAAAGCTCCTTAAAGCAGAAACCGCCTCTAGTTGCTGCGGTTCCTCATAGAGATAATAACCAACAGCATCCCGAGTAACAGTGCTGTGTGCCGTGAAGTTCACACAGCCTGTCTAGGAGCAAACGGGCTCCATTTCAAACAGCCCCTATCTACCCAGAATGCCTTCCTGTGGGGTCCCGCCATAGATTCTGAGTGACAGAACTGGGATTCTATTCAGAGCTGGCTGCAGACAAAAGACATGGCACAGGAAAGCATGACCTCACCTCTAAATAGTCTAAAAAATAACAGTAAACAAATAGATGAAACAAAGTAGGTAGTATATCCAGACAATGGAATTTTATTGAGAATTAAAAAGGAATGAGCTATCAAGCCATGAAAAGACATGGAAGCAGCTCCGATGCATATTACAAAGTGAAAGAAGATAATCTGAAAAGGATACATACTGTATGATTCCACCTATACGACATTCTGGAAAAGAAAATTATGAAGACAGTAAAAAGATGAAGGCTGAGAGAGGGAATGAGAGATGAATCGGGAGAGCACAGATTTTTAGAGCAGTGAGACTATTTTATGATACTACAATGGTGGACTCGTGTTGTTATAAATGTGTCAAATCCCACATAAAACACCAAGAGTGAACGTAATATAAATGATGGACTCCGCACAACCATGTGTCAATGCAGTTTCATGGGGGCTGTGCATATGTGGGAGCAGGAACGTTCTATTCCTTCCACTCAATTTTGCTATGAACCTAAAGCTGTTCTAAAATGTAACATCTATTTAAAACAAAACAGAGTATGTCTGAAGGCAAAAGGGAAGGCCCTTTTAGGTCAACAGTCTTCAGTAGTTGAGAGAAAGAGAGTATTACCAGCTGAGTCAGCATGCACGCAAGTGGGCCTCGAATGACTTATCAATTCTGAATGTAATTCTAAGTCCTTTGCCCAAGGCTCATATTAAGCATATTTTCTTTCATACGCAGGCAAAAGCCTTCTAATTAACTACATAACTCCAGAATAACTTAAAGGTTGAAGGAAATAGCTTGTTTCCTCCTTTCTTAAGTAGATTTGAAGATGACCAAATTTTAAATTAAAACTTTCTTAATAAGTTTCCTTACAGAAGCAAAGGAAATTAATAAATGCTTTTCTCATTTGGGAATCAAATAAACCAAATTTATAGTCTTCAGATTCACTCTAAATTAAATATGCAGAACAGTTTAAGGGGTGCAGCTGAAGCTGAGGGATTTTTCTCCCAAGAGCAGAAACAGAGAAGTTGGGGCAAAATGACCAATAATTGGACACTTTGCAGAGTCAACTATAGATCAGTGCTCTGAAGGTGCTTGGAAAAGCTGTAAAAAGGGACAATCTCTCACCTATCACTCTAAAGGCAACTTGACTCTTCCCGTGGTTTGGGTACACACTACCAAAGAGTGGGTAAAGAGAAAGATTATAAAAATTCCATGAGCACAACGTAAAGCATTGTCTAAAGCAAATTCATCTCTGGAAGACAAAGACTAGTTAAAACAATCAGGGCAAATCAGCAGATGCAAAAGAGAATACATACTAAAATAACAGTACAAGAGAAATTCGATTTTATTTACATGGTGAAATACTGTGTTATGTTGAAAAGATTTGCAAAAACACACTACTAACATTTAAATCAAATTCAAGAATCAAATGATCAAGTAAACTTTTTCTTCATTTTTATTTTTTATTTTGAGAGAGCGTGCACGCGTGAGTGTGGGAGAGAGCAGGGTGGGGAAAGAGAGAGAATCTTAAGCAGGCTCCATGCTGAGCATGGAGCCCAACAAGAGGCTCAATCCCATGACCCTGGAATCATGACCTGAGCTGAAATCAAGAGTTGGACACTCAACTGACTGAGCCACCCAGGCCCCCCTCAAAGCATCAATATGCATCCTTACTTCAGGTTCTTCACTGAAAGAAACTGTTTCCTTCTCTGCACTCTTGCTGTTCTACTCTCCATACTTCTGACACGCAAATGTGTAGCCATTTTCCCCAGAGCAAGCAATTCTGCAACACCGGCTGATGTTCTACAATCCAAATCAATTCTGACACTATCCACCTGGAGGTGGTGTCAGATCCCACAGTTTAAGGGCTCAGTCCCACAAGACTGCGCCTTCCTCAGATGCCAATGCCAGTTTGAAGTCCCTGGTTTCCTGTACTTCTGACCAGCTGGCTATAAATCGGTCTCACCCATGACCCCCTCCTCAAATTCAATAATTTGCTAGAATGGCTCCCAGAACTCAAGAAAACAGTTTACTTACTACTAATGTAATGTTCTTTTCTGTTTTTAAATAAAAAGATTTAACTCAGAAACAGCCAGATGGAAGAGATGCATAGGGTAAGGTATGAGGGAAGGGATGCCCTTGACCTCTTTGGGCTTAACCACCTTCCCAACACCTCCATGTGTTTAAAAAACCGGAAGTTCTCCGAACCCCAACAGTGTAAGATTTTTATGGAGGCTTAATCAAGTAGGCAAGGCTGATTAAATCATTGCTGTTGACAATGAAACTCAATCTCTAACCCCCGCCCCTTTCCACAAGCAGGTCTGGATGGGGCAGGGGTAAAAGGGCTGAAAGTTCTAACTTTCTAACCTTGTGGTTGGTTCCCCTGGTCACCAGCCCACCATCCTTAGAGGCTTTCCACCTCATTAACATAAAAATTGTGACTGAAAGGGGCTTTAATGAGTAAGAAAAGACACTCCTTTAGCCTTTAAGGTTTTAAGGCTGTTAACAGACAAAATGGACCAATTTTGGTGTTACTTAAACCATAAAGAAGGGTTTGACTGATGTGGATAACAAACTATCTTCTCATGTGTACTAGGAATTAGAGAACTCTGAAAAGAAAGGGTATATATCATTCGGATACTGTGATATAAGAAGAAAATATGGGGCCCCTGGGTGGCTCAGTCAGTTAAGCTTCCAACTTCGGCTCAGGTCATGGTCTCGCAGTTCATGAGTTTGAGCCCCACGTCGGGCTCTGTGCTGACAGCTCAGAGCCTGGAGCTGCTACAGATACTGTCTCTCCCTCTCTCTCTGTCCCTACCCTCCCTCCCTCCCTCTCTCAAAATAAACATTAAAAAATTTTTTTTTAATTAAGAAAATATGTATGTAGGTTTTGGGGCAAATGCCCCTTTCCTGGCATATAGCTCCTTAAACCCTTGTAATTTCCTAAGTCAAAAAGGCAGAGAATGACTTCAGATATAGAAAGAGAAATTGGAAGTTCTACATCAGAGAATTAAGTTTTAGATTGTGACATTGAGATTCTTCCAAGGATTAGTCTTCCATCAATTGACCCAGCTCATCAAAGTTTATTTCTAACTTTAATTTTGAATTATCATCCTAGATGATATGTCACATTTGTTAGTAATATTGATATAATACTAACTGCTTAAAAAGTTTACTGCTTTATGTGACTCACATAGGACTACGTCTTCAAAGAAATTACTTAAAACGGTTTTAATAAAATACAATGACCAATAATACAGTAAGCTTTTATAGAAATTAAATCATGTTTTTCAAGATGAACTCTAATTTTCCTGGAACTGATTTATATTAAGATAAAAGCCTTAAAAAGTATTTAATACAGGGGTGGCTCAGTAGCTTCTGACTTCAGCTCAGTTCATGATCTCACAGTTCGTGAGTTCAAGCCCCAAACGAGGTTCTCTGCTATGAGCGCAGAGCCTGCTTCAGATCCTCTGTCTCCCTCTCTCTCTGCACTCTCCCACTCACTCACTCTCTAAAATAAATAAACATTTTTTTAAAAGTGTTTAATATATAACTGCCTCATTCCAAAAAAGGATTTCAGGCAGCCAAGGAAACTAAATAGAGTTTAACTATGGCTTTAAGGCGATTATTGTAGTCAACATTTAATGGCACAGTGAACACTACAATTTTCATGGTTGCACCAGACCATAATGCCATTAAAAAAGAAAAGAAAGAGGCAACAACTCATTGAGAAAAGTCTAAGGCTCCATAATTAACTAAGTTGCCTATATATCTTCAAACACCTCTACACCTCTCTCATCCAACCCACCTTTCATGTAAGGTCCTGAGACAGTAATTTATTGCTCCCTTAATAAGCTATTAACTACATGTGGAGGTGAAAAAAAAAAAATACGAAAAAACAAACAAAACTGAAGTTGTTACTACACATACCTGTATTTTTCCTCTCAAAATTCACAACAGAAATTTTATGATTCCTCCAATGAAGAGTGTTTAAATGACAGTAAATACAATGAGATATTAGCACCAGTGTGGCAAACGTAAGACTAGACTAAAATTTTAGCCAGCTCCTGCCCTAGGCCACCCCCACTAAACAACTCCCGTGAGCCACTCCACTGAGTCTAAACCAAGACATCTTACCCTTCAGCACCTGGGATGGCCTTGCCAGGATTCGAACCTGGATCATCTGTATGGTCAGACAGAGGCTTCCAATGAGCACAAGACCAGCTGCGGGTGCGGATCCCTTCCTCACAATTAAAATTCTGAAATGCCAGCCATTTTCAGAGAACCCAGTTTCCAGAAAGACAGTTTTTACCAGATACTAAAAATAAAGAACTCAAGGGGGAAAAAATGAACGTAAGGATCAGGCTACATGTCTCAAAGCTAAAAGACACTTCCAAACACACCATCTCCTTTGGTCATAATCACCTTGAAAAGGAGGCAGGTAAAGATCATCCCAACTTTTCATGAGTGAAGTTAATGCAGAGGTGTCAGACAGAACTCTTCCAATGGGACTAAACTACTCAAAACTAAGGAAAACCAAGGGTGTTCTAGAAACTTTACCTTGGCATTTTTCTGGGTTGGGCAAAACTCTGGACCTCTTTTGAGGCAAATTTATTCGAGGATCCCCAACTGTCAGTCCCAAAATAGTACCGGCTGGAATTTCTGCTGGTGATGTTATTCCTTTAACAAAAATAAAAACAAACAAAAAAAACAAGTTTACACAAAGTCACTCACAATATATACACATATGCTTGTATTTTCAATTTTTTGAATAAAAATTTCTTCTTGGGCTATTAAAAAACATGTATTCCTCTTTTTTCCTATTAATACTTTTAGGGAGTAAATTAACATTCATAAAGAATGACGTTTCTTATCAAACACATTAAATTAACAAAACATTATTTTACAACACGAACATGTATATTTCCATCACTGATAACTACAGTAGCTTTATACACGAACGCAATTACATACAGGTAAGTTTAGTCCTTGGTTTAGTACCTGGTCTATGTGTTTACCTATCATAACAGAATGGGAGCTATTTGGAATACTAACATATACTCAAATAGCGTTTCCCACGCTCACTGCGTCAGGTACCTCTCCGACGTGTTTTCTTGCTATATTACGACAAGCGGTAACAAGTTAAAAAGTACCACTCCATGTAGGCAGCCCAACTGTAAAACACTCTCTGAACCCACTTCCCACTCCTCCCTTCTTCCCCAAACCACCCAGTCAGCATTCCCTCTGAATACCTCCCAACAATTCAAAAATGGCTTCTTGTTTGTGATGAAGGGAAACGCTATCAGGATTCTTACAGGTTTCAATCCACCAATGGTGAGGTGTCTTCTCTGTGTCCTCTCCCTCCTGAAAAATAACAATTCCTATTCACCAAATAATGAATCGGACTTGATAATTTTATTATGGCTGTGATATGTGAGAAACTGCCATTATATTTAACACAGTAATTAACACCAGACTGACTACTCTTCTCACTAGAGGCAAGGACATAGTGTTACAGTTCTCTCGAGATTTCACACACTAACAACAACACCCATGATTTTCAGAGAGACCACCCAAGCTACTCCATAGCTGCATTCTTCTGTCAGCACACTATTGACAAAAGAGGCCTGCTCCTTGCTCCTCTCCTACTACCACCAACTTCATACCAATTTAAGTAACAAAACCTTCCCCACCAAAGAAAAACCAAACCTTCTGTTTGAAAAAGCAAAAAGATATCTTATGATCACATTATTCCAAAAAACTTCAAATAAGACACACAAATGCTTTACTTATATTTTTCTCAGACAGAACCAGGAATCGAGCAAGGTTTCAAAAAGCACCTCAGGGGTACCTGGCTGGCTCAATTGGCAGAGAGGAGTATGACTCTCGATGGGGTCACGAGCCCCATGTTGGGTACAGAGATTACTTAAAACAAAACAAAACAAAACACAAAAATCGTTAAAACAAAAAACCAAAGAGCACCTCAAGCACCAGTTACACACCAAGAAAGAGAACCTATAGCCATGATTCATACTGAAGTTCACTGAAGTAGGATGTGCTCCTACAGATTCTAAAGAAGCACCCTGTTAACATATGGGCTATTTACCTCACAGAAACTCAGACAACATAGCTTACAGGTTTAAAGTACAGGCTCCGGAACCTAACTTCTTAGGTTCAGATCCTCACTGAGCAACTTATTAGCTAGAGTGGAGCCCCTGCTCTGCGCCAGGCACTGTGCTAAGCACTGGAGACAGTCTTTGCCATCAAAGCTCCATGTGAACATCGCATAAGTACCTAAGCAGATCTAGACATATAAATTGAGGAAATGTGCAAAATATGATGAAATATAACTTATATAATTTAACTTGGGGGTCAGGAAAGGATTCTAGAGGGAAACGATATAGAGGCTGAAATGTGAAGAACAAGGAAGGTTTAGCCAAGAAAAGGCAGGGGCCGGAGGAGGAGGTGGGGGGCAGAAAGTTCAGCCTGGTGGGGAAACGGGGTGTGAAGGCTCTAAAGGAGAGGAGATCTGACATATTCTGGGACCTGAAAGAAGGCCAGTGTGACTGAGATGCAGGTGAGGAGAGATGAGGGCAGAGGCAGGAAGGCACAAGAGTATGAAGTCACATTAAGGGCTTTGGATTTTACCATAAATACAATAAGAAACTATTTAAAAGCTTTTAATTGGAAAGTAACATGATGTGAATAAACTGTTAAAAGATCATTCCATTTCCTGCATGGAGAATGGAGTGAAAAGAAGCAACAGTAGAGGAAGCGAAAAAGCTGCTTTGGTATTCAGGCAAGAGACACAGAGGTTGAGGCAGGTGTGGCAGCGACGGAGAGGGGAAGAGAGAGAGAGAGAGAAAGAGAGAGAGAGAGGGAGAGGGAGGGAAGGAGAAGCTGCCTTTGTTTTTTAAAGTATCTTTCTTCATTAAAAGCTCAAAACCTGTTCAGGCTTAACATCTTATTTGGCATGTCAAATCTGTGAGAGGCACAGTCAACAGAAGGGTGAGTTGCACTAATCCAGGGGAAACAAACAGGATCTGAATCCGAGTGTCTGATTCCTAACTTAATCTCTCCTCTCTATACCTGCGTGGTCCACTTGGTAGCCACCAGCCACAGAGAGCTATCTCTATTTAATTAAAATTAATCGAAGGTACAAAATCAGTTCCTCAGTCACACTAGCCACACTTCAAGTGCTCAAGAACTACATGTGGCTAATGGCTACCATACGGATGCCACAGAAGACTATCATCCTTGCAGAAAATTCTACTGGACACTGCTGCACTAGACATATTGCTCTTAACCTTTTAGGGATCACAGACCCTTAAAACAAGCCCCAGAAAATATGCACCACACAAGTACAAACAAACAAATAAAACCCGGTACACACTTTCAGTGATTTTAGGGGTTCTCTGTTACCCACAAAACTCACAAACTTGCAAGGAGAGTATGCACTTAAACAAGAACAAGTTAGTTTACTCACTAGATTTCCCCAGATTTGTTCCTCTAGAAGTGAAAGATGACAAAGTATTTGATACTAAACATAAGTAGAGAAATAAAAATTTATAGGGCGTGGCCCAAAATGCTACTGAAATATGTTAGGTTTCAAATTTGCTAGGAAGGACATAACTGGATTAAACCACTACAGTCACATTTACTCTTACGGTATGGACAGAAGCAGCTTTTAGTGCCTCAGTTAGGATGGAGTGGGAAAGTGGACCGATCAACCGGAGCCTGTTCATCTCCATCGTCAAATCACTGAAAGAGAGAAAAGATCTTAAGATGGAAACCTTCGTCATACACAGTGTCTGAGCCACTGGCAAAAACAGAACAAGACTTCACTAAAATTGTTCGGAGGATTCAGAGAGAATTCACCTGTACCTGATTATAACGCCTGTGGCTGGACAGACCCAAGAATATGGTTGATGTGGATCTCTAGTTCCGTCACCGATGACTTTTTTAACCGGTTTAGCATTTTCTCCGTCATCTTTCCGTTTTCTTTTCTTGCCAATTCTCTCATCAGGTAGTTCCGTTTGGCTTTTTTCCTGTGATGGTGTCAGCAGGGGCTCCAGGGTACAGACAGTTGATTTGATGGGTTCCATACACTGGCACGCTTTTATTTCCTCTAAAATATCCTAAGGAAATATTTAAAAACTTCAGGTAGTTCAGTTCGTATTATTTTTTTCTTCCTTTAAAAATATACATTTTTATCCCTTTACAAATTAAACGAAATTCATCATGATTTATCAAAAAGCTTTTTTGGTGCTGCCGAACAGTGCACAACACTTGAAACAAAAAAACTTCAAAGTGTCAAAGATTAATGAAAATAATGTGACTACTCTGAACAATTAACATTTTCGAAAATCAGATTAAAGAGAAAATTTATAGTCTACCAGAAAAAAGCAGTGACTATGCCAAGAAAAAAAAAGAGAGATTAGAAATCATCACAATTTGGGGCGCCTGGGTGGCTCAGTCAGTTAAGCGCCCAACTCTTGATTTCGGCTCAGGTCATGACCTCAGGTTGCTGTGTTCGAGCCCCACATCAGGCTCTGCACTGGCAGCACAGAACCTGCTTGGGATTGTCTCTCTCTCTCTCTCTCTCTGTCCCTCCCTCACACACACACACATGCTCTCTCTCTCTCAAAATAAATAAACTTAAAAAAAAAAAAAAGAAATCATCTGAATTACTCAAAATAGTTTCTTATCATCAAAGAGGTTCTTACAAGGACCTGGATACCAACGAAGCAATTCAGACCTGGTAGGACCCTTAGACCAAATGCAGCATTTCAAGCCATTGCGTACATAATATGGTGGGTTTTATCTCTACTTCCACTTAGGATTTACTAAAAAGTGAAAGGTCAAGATTTGCTTCATTTCATATTCACATAACGTTCTTCCCTATATTCTAATACCAAGTTCTCATCGAAACTTTTATACTATTTAAATTTCCAGAGCATTGATTTCAACAGGAATTAAGAATGCAGTAACAGAGTCATGAGCAAATAACTCAAGGATTATACCTGTTTCAGAGTTGGATGAAGCCAGATCCATAACTGCCTGCTCTCAGAAGTGTGACCAGGGGTCCACTCAGGCTTCCAAATAAACGTAACAGGCCCCAGCATCTCTCTAGGGTATTTATTTGCCCGGTAAAGTATGACACTACCTTGGCGTTTTCCAGACAAGTAGTGAACTGCTGCGAAAGTCAGTCCTGACACAAACAAAAACAAAATTCTCTCATTTCCAGTGCTGAGATAGTAGTAGTATTTCCTGATTGCCATCCTGTTATCTGCTGTCTATCTCTATGAGGGATGAGGTGCTGGTGTTGACCACTGCATAGATCAAAGCCTGGCACACAGTAAATTCTCAATAAACACTGAATGAATGAATAAATGGATGAATGGGGACTGAGTTTTTGCCCCACTGAATTCACTACACCAAAATAAGGTTCTCTCACCTTCTACTTAACAATGTTACAAATAATTTGAAACCACCCCACCTTTCTTACATTAGCATTCTCATTGGGAACAAGAACTGTCTTACGCATTTTATATATATTTAAATTCCAAAACACTTACTTGCTCATGAAATGAACAAATACGCAAAGACTAAAAGAGCATTCAGCTTTAAAACCAGTTTACCTGTGTCTATACTACACATCGGAGAAAGTGCCTTCAGTATTTCTTCCTCTTTGCCCTTCAGCTCCAAACAACAGTAGTAGGATAGATCCTGCACAAAGGAGGAGACGTAATCAAATACTTAGAATGGGACATGGGGGAAAATTGTAAAACGCCAAAAGTCACATCAGAAAAACTTCTACCAGTCCAAGACTCAGAACAAATTGCCAAAGCTATCATTTCTTTAAGACAAAACCTGAAACCTGTCTATTCTTAGGACATTAGCAAATATTTTTAAACCAATTTAAAGCAAAATCAAAATGAATTTTCATTTAAAATTTAAGTTACTGTGTCTTTTCTAGAAAGAAAATCTGTGGGGGTACCTGGCTGGCTCAGTAAGAGGAGCATGAGACTCTTGATCTTGGGGCTATGAATTCGAGCCCCACATGGGGTGCAGAGGTTACTTAAATAAATAAAACATTTTTTTTAATCTGCGTTTTATGCCATTTTTACAAACAAGTTTTAAGTAGAGTATAAAAACTGCTGCCTCTAAGTAAAGGGTTATTCCTCCCCCAAATCTACCTAAGAAATCAGAGTAGAATACCACGATATCAATATATTCTGCAAAGTTATGCTAAAGTTCACTTTGGTTAGCTAATTCAGGACTCCAAGATTATTTAACACTGAACCTAGAGACATAATGTCGTAATTAATTTATCCTATATTCCTCCCATGCTTAATCTTGACTAGGATATTCAACTCTGACTAAACAATGTTCAAGGAAAAATGAAAGTAATGAGAGTAAGACCTTACCGACTTAAATGAGATGGCAAGAGATCAACTGAGCTAGTAAAACAAGTATGTTAAAGAACCAAAACAACAGTAACAGTCACTGAACGGATGCTGAGTGCCAGGGCCTGGGCTGTCATCTACTACATCGTACACGTACCAACACGTGATGAGCCAGGTACTTTCTGCTGCCGTATGACAGACGAGGATACCGACACAGAGACTGTCCCTGAACAAAGCTATATATCAGCAAGTGGAGAAGCCAGCATTCGAGTTGGGCTCACTGACCCCCAAACCAGCCCCTCTGCCACATCACATTTAAGCAATTTCAGTACACTCAGCACCTGAGACTAAAAGGGAAACTATAGCTAAGCTTCTGACAAACTCACAGAAATCTGTGCTATCACACGCACAGAAATCTTCCAAGCAGCAGGGATCCACCGTCAGCTATCAGTGTGCAGGTGAACCACACCCAAATCTGTACAACTGAGTGTCAGCACCAAACAACGGTTAATAGCCTGGAAGTCGTGGCATCAGACCCGGGCTGAAATCTCAACGTCACCACTCACTGGTTGTATAGCCGTGGGTAAATTACGTAACTTCTCTGTTCCTTAGTTTCCTCATCTGTAAAGTAGAAATAATGCTAACTACGTCTGCTGCGGTGTTGTAAGGACTAAAAGAGTAAACGTATATAAACCATTAAAACCAGGCCTGGCATAAGATTAAGTACTCAAAAATGTCTGTTACTATTAGCTATTATTTGTATTACTTAGGGCTGATCAAATGTAAAGAAAATATCTGATAACGTCAGCAAAAATCTTGCCTCAAATAAGAAGTAACTTACCCATCTGTCTTAAAATTTGGGAAATGGCAGTGTATGGCAGAAAAAGCACAGGCCAGGGAAATCAGCTGCCCAAAGGCTACCTAGCCACCAACAAGGTGCATGACCCTGGACAAGTCACTTTATCTCTCTGGATCCCAGTTTCCACAATATAGATAAAGGATTTTACTATAATCAATGATTTCTGCTGCTGAATCTTCAAATCAAAAGCCCTTAAAAGGTTCTTGTATTATTTCACACCCATTAGGATGCTATTATCAAATAAACTAAAAATAGTAAGTATCAGTGAGGATGTGGAGAAATTGAACGCTGGCACATTGCAGGTTGGAATGAAAAATATCATAGCCTCTATGGAAAACAGTAGGGCAGTTCCTCAAAAAATTAAACACGGTATTACCATGTGAAACAGCAATTCCACTTCTAAGTATATACCCAAAGAACTGAAAACAGAGACTTGGAAAAGATATTTGCAAGTTCATTTCATAGCAGCATCATTCACAACAGCCAAAAGGTGGAAGCAATCCAATGTCCGTTGCTGGATAAACAGATAAACAAGATGTGGTATGTACATACAATGGAGTACTATTCAGCTTTAAAAAGAAGGGAAATTCCAACACACGACACAACATGGCTGAACCTTGAAGACGTTAAGTGATGTGAGCCAGTCTCAAAAGGATAAATATTGTGTGATTCTCCTTATATGAGGTATCTAGAACAGGCAAATTCCTAAAGACAGAAAGTAGAATAGTGGTTGCTGGGAGTAGGCGAGTGAGCAACGGGGAAGATGAAAAAGACCTGGGGATGAATGGTGATAATAGTTAGACAACAATATGACTATAGTCAATGACACAGAACTGTGCACTTAAAATAATTAAAGGTAGGGTGCCTGGGTGGCTCAGTCAGCTAAGCATCCGACATTAGCTCAGGTCATGATCTCACAGTTTGTGCGTTTGAGCCCCACATTGGGCTCTCTGCTGTCAGCATGGAGCCTGTTTCAGGTTCTCTGTTCCCCTCTCTCTCCCCCTTCCCGGCTTGTTCTCTTTCTCTCTCTCTCTCAAAATAAATAAACCTTAAAAAATAATAATATTTAAAAGAGGTGCCTGGCTGGCTCAGTCAGTGGAGCATGTGACTCTTGATCTCAGGGCTGCAAGATGGAGCCTCACACTGGGTGTACGGCCTATTCAAAAATAAAACCTTGGGCACATGGGTGTCGGTTAAGCATCCAACTCTTGGTTTCAGCTCAGGTCATGATCTCACAGTTTTGTGAGTTTGAGCCTCCCATTGGGCTCTGCACTGGCAGCATAGAGCCTGCTTGGGATTCTCTGTCTCCCTCTCTCTCTGCCCCTCCCCCACTTGTTCTGTGTCTAAAAATAAATACACTTTATTTTTTTAATTACTTTTTTAATGTTTTATTTATTTTTGAGAGAGAGAACAAGAACAAGCGGGAGAGGGGCAGAGAGAGAGGGGGACAGAGGATCCCAAGCAGACTCTGTGCTGATAACAGAGAGCCCCATGTGGGGCTCAAACTCAAAACCATGAGATCATGACCTGAGCGAAGTAAGATGCTTAACCAACGGAGCCACCCAGGTTCCCCTTTTTTAATTAATTTTTTTAATGTTTTATACATAAATAAACTTTAAAAAATAAATAATAAAATCTTAAATAAGTAATTAAACCGGTAAAATTTGATGTTATGTATAGTTTACCACAACTTTTTTTTAAAGGTTTTTATATTGATTATTCTCCTCTACTGCTTTCAAGAGGCATCAGAGACTCCTAACACCAATGGTTTTCAAAACTTGGCCAAGGCTTCCAGTTATGGAACGAATCGGTCATGGGGATAAAGGGTCAGGCACAGGGAATACAGCCAATGATACTGCAATAGTGCTGGATGGTGACAGATGGTAGGTAGCTACATTGTGGTGAGCACAGCATAAAATATAGAGAAGTTGAATCACTATTTTGTACACCTGCGACTAATGTAACTGTTTGTCAACTACACGCAGATAAAAAAATCTTAAAAAACAATGAAACCTGGTCAAGGCCATCCTGCCATTGAAAGGCAGAAATCTTCCAAGAGTAAATTTCTAAATATGTCCTGGAAGAATGAAAGCCACTGATTTACCAATTGGGGAAGGGGAGAGGGACGACCAGATAAATACTATTACCAGGCATAAAACAAACTGTCCTCTCAGAGAATTTAAAACGAACTTCCTAGCATCCCACTGAATCCTAAACATCTACAACAGCATTCTGAATACTGCTAAGGGCACACAAATATTTGCTGTTGATGAATGACTTCTAATTTTTTTTTTTTTCAACGTTTATTTATTTTTGGGACAGAGAGAGACAGAGCATGAACGGGGGAGGGGCAGAGAGAGAGGGAGACACAGAATCGGAAACAGGCTCCAGGCTCCGAGCCATCAGCCCAGAGCCCGACGCGGGGCTCGAACTCACGGACCGCGAGATCGTGACCTGGCTGAAGTCGGACGCTTAACCAACTGCGCCACCCAGGCGCCCCTGATGAATGACTTCTAAATGAATCAAAGCTGAATAAATCTCAAACATGACCACCAAGACCCTGCAGGACCTGGTTCCTACCTATTTTTCCTGAACTAATCTCCCCTTAATGTTATCCTCTCTTAATGATCTCACTCTCTTCATCTTTATCACACCGAATTTACTTCAATTCTTCCCTCTTACCTGACTTCCTCTGCCACGTCAACTCTCTCCTTCCCTAATCCTTTAGAGCTGAGCCCAAACATCACTTCCATTTCGTCTAAACAAATATAAAAAGAAAACCAACTAGAGAAGCATACCTGGAGAAGGCAACGGTTTGTCATGGCTCGGTAGCAGGCTCTGTGGCTCTTGACTGTCGGCCTCTCCCCGAGACAGTAGCCCCACTTCTTGACCATGTGAAACCGTTTGGCGTGCCAGATGTGAGTCTCTAACCATATGTTCTTCTTTTGTCTACGGTTAAATTCTAGCACCCGGTTTTTGTGACATCTTCGAGCTTTATGGCATTTATTTTTTGAATGTTCTTTTTTCTGGTGCACTGCTTTCTCTGCCTGCAATTTCAAGAAGAGAGGAGGGTCCTAGTTGGTAACGATCTCAAAATAAAAGTTACATGTGAGGAATTCAAACAACTAACTTTAGATTAGGTGGGAGTACCTTTCAGACTCCATCAGTGTGCTTAATTTTTTGACTTGGCAATTTCTCCAGTGAAAGGGCAGACAGAAGGCAAGAGTGAAGGTTTCAGAAACGGGCAAACTCAGAGAGGAAGCACAGTTCTATCACTTACTAACCGGCAAGCTTTGTGGACTATGAGGATTAGAGTCTTTATAAAATGCTCCACACAGTAACGCAAGCTTATTGTGGCTATTCATGTTAGAGAGCAAGAGAAGAAGATGCCAGCTCTTTTGTTATTGGTTTTATTGTTTTGTAAACCTCTGGGATTGGAACTAAACCCAAAACAGGATGAAAAATGTGAGGTGAGGAAAACCTATACATTTCAATGTCAGTTAGGTACTGATAGACAAATGCCATGGGAAACAAACCTTACAATCTAAATCTAGAAAGCACAAAATTCCTGTTCAGTTTTCACTCTTACTCTCCTCCATAGCTGAGCTAAACTTTTATGGGGGGAAAAAAAACCAAAACTCTTCTCCATTAGTTTGCTGAACTCCTCTCACCCCAACACCAGTATAGTACCGCACACAGAAGGCACTCCATGAGGAACTTTTGAATCAACTAGTAAAGACATGGGTAGCTGAGACAACCTGAAAATGTCCAAGCGAAGAATTTTGATAAAGCCAAAAACAACTAGACTTGAGGAAAAATTAAATCCAAGTTTGAAGTTTTCAATGTTGAAAAAGTCAAAAGGCAAGTACTAGGCATTGTTGCTGCTTTTTCTCTTGATTTTCCAACTATAAGCTGGCCACACCCCCAAAACATAAAGCTAAAATTGCTTATGTGGTAAGAAGGTCAGGATTTGATTTTTAATCTGACAGCTGAACATCAACTATTTAACACCATTAAAAAAAAAGGGGGACCTGAAATTAATGAAAAAAAAAAATTGAAGGAAGGAAGAAAAGAAGGAAGGAAGGAACAAAGAAATGAAAGAAAGAGAGAAAGAGAGAAAGAGAGAAAGAGAGAAAGAAAGAAAGAAAGAAAGAAAGAAAGAAAGAAAGAAAGAAAGAAAGAAAGAAGAAAGGGTTTCCAAATGCTATATGTAATACCCAACTGCTTGCTAATTAGATAGCAAGGAGGAAGGTGGGGGGATAATGATTAAATCCAAAAATAATGCAAAAGAGTACGTTGCTTTTGGTTTTCACTTTAATTCTATTAGGTTAACATTTCTCAATTTCTTTTAGGAACTACTAACTTGAACACTTACACTAAGTGAAACATATACCTCTTTCTGGGCGATTTCCTGCAACCGCCTGGGAAGGCGTTTGACATTGTGGCTCATGGCTCTCCGTCTCATGTGCCGGGGCAGCGTCTGGAAAACCAGTGAATTAGAAGATTTCTGGGTCACTGCTTTCAACATAGCACTGATTTCAGCAGCTCGGGCTTGAGCAAAAGTAGAAGCTGTAGACAAAAATAGCATGATAATTAAAGACCAGTCTAGAATCAATACTTCTGGTCAATCTCAGAAGGAAGACAGATTTGAAGTATATGAACTTAAAATTCACCCACCACCCAAGCCCTTAATTAGATTAATACAGATGGTGGCTATATCTGTATTATATATAAAGCCATTCTGTTTCTACTTTTTTTCAAGTTCTCTATAAGGATTCAGTGTTACTTTTTTAACCATAAAAATAGTTTAAAAGCATGTTTACAAACAATTCCTTAAAACAGAGGGCTACATGCAATATAAATCACAACCATTTTTTTTTATATAAAGTTATTTATTTATTTTGAGGAAGAGAGAGAGCATGTAAGCAGGGAAGGGGCAGAGAGAGAGAGAGAGAGAGAGAGAACCCCAAGCAGGCTGTGCACTGTCATCACAGAGCACAATGTGGGGCCTTGATCTCACAAACCATGGGATCATGACCTGAGCCAAAATCAAGAATCAGATGCTTAACCAACTGAGCCACCCAGGCACCCCAACCACAACCATTTTCAAGTGCAATAATCACATAAGAAAACAAAGAAAAAGTAAAATTGAAGTCACAAAGGTTGTGACTTCAAAAGTTTGTTTTCTTTAATATTTTTTGCTTTTTCTAAATATATAATCATAACTTTACTAGTTTTCCTTATTGAAAAGCAGACCTTTTTTTGAAGTAAACAGAGTGCTGGGGACATTTAAGTGCATTTTTCCCACCAGGCACAGAGACCAGAAGGCATACCAGGGGTGCAGGTGATGGGGGGAGGGAGTAACAGGAGAAGAGATCTGAAGGGGCCTGGAGACAGGTATTTAAATGTCTTGGTTGGGGCGCCTGGGTGGCTCAGTCGGTTGAGCGTCTGACTTCAGCTCAGGTCGTGATCTCACATTCTGTGAGTTCCTGCCCCACGTCGGGCTCTGTGCTGATGGCTCAGAGCCTGGAGCCTGTTTCAGATTCTGTGTCTCCCTCTCTCTCTGACCCTCCCCCGTTCATGCTCTGTCTCTCTCTGTCTCAAAAATAAATAAACGTTAAAAAAAATTTTTTTTAATAAAAAAAAAATAATAAAGGTCTTGGTTGCCCTCGGAGTGTGTTAAATTTGGTTTCATCCTTGGAGAATGCATGTAGACGCCATTTTATATTTTAAAAAGGAGTGGGGTGAGGGAAAGGTTTTAGGACAAAGTAGAACAGTTCACAGATAAGGATTTACAAGAACAAGGAGAAGAGGAAAAAAAGAGAAAGTGAAGAATGGAGAGCAATCAGGCCCAAGGAAACTACAGCCACAGTCCAGACTAGAGGCGAGAAGAATCCCCAGTGGAAGGAGAAGAGGAGAGAGACGGGGAGGCAGGGCCAAGGTGGAGAGCACTGAAGCAAAGGGCTCATCATATAATCAAACTTCACTTCTTCACAAACACCTACCAGTTATATACTTGGGAATCTCCTGAGAGGTGCCCTCAGGACCTGCTTTCCATCCTCCCTTTTTTTTAAACATTATTTTGGAGGAAGACTGTTCATTCACATCAGGATCAACTGGGGAATGGTGGATCATTTTGGTATGCCGCGGTCGTGAAGTTCCAGGAAGAAGCTCTAGTTTGTTTTCAAAAAGAAAACAAAAAGAAATATGTCAGCCTTACCAGGAATACAGATTACAGTGGAGAACATCATTTGCTGGGTGGCAATGCTAATTAGGTTTTTAATCCTACAACTACCCAGTAAGGTGGCTATTACTATCTTTCCTTAAAGAGGAGGAAATCTACCTACAATAGGGAGGTGAATTAATTTGACCAAGGTGATAAAGCTAGCAGGCAGCATACTGGCTCATCTTGTCAGCATGACAAATAAACCTTGCATATAAATTATGAGGGAACTTTCCTCCAAACTTTTCTCCAATAAATTATGAGTACAACATAAATTTTAAATCTAAGCTCCCTTCAATATTACAATTTACATGATTTTGTATATTCAGTCTTTTATCGTAATTCTCTGCCACACTCAAGTTGGGAGCCTGTGTTAAATTAAAGAAAAGAAATAAAAGCAAAGTCTATACAAATGTCTGTGCATTGAAACCACAGACTTTAAGACATCAAATCACGGTCTGCAAAGGGAGGGAGAGACTAGCAGAGAATTTTACAGTGTTCCTCTTATTCCCATTATACTGTTAATTATTAAGCCCCTATAAACCATGAAACATGTTACAAGGTTTGTCACTGGGAGATTTAAATGAGGTAAGACCCATTAACGCTTATGTGGCATGATGGGCATCAACTGTTGAATCTGAAATCTAAATCTTACAAATAGAAGAGACTGAAACTTACTTCACCAGACCCAATGCACACTATTCTTTAAAGTGTCCCCCAAAAGTTCTTACTCACCTGCTTGCTATCTTCCCAAACTGGCATTTTCTATTGCTACCCAATGAACAACTAACACCTTGATATCACTTTATAAGGTTCTAAAATCAGCACACAAGCTAAATGTATATAAAACACACTATTTCTTTTAGGAAATAAAGAAGTATAATTTAATAATAACTGTTAAGGTAGAAATATATCTGTTCTAAGATACATACAGCCAATTCTTGTCATTCCCAATAGTTATGCTCTATAAAGTCACAATGAACGCTGAATTAGCAAATACTGAACCACTGTTCCAAGAAATATATATATGTGTACACGTACACAAGTATACATACACATATACGTACATATATACACATGTATACACACATACATACATATATATATATACATACACATCACATGGATTGCGATCTCAAATCATAAAAACAACTCATCCTAGTAGATTCTGTTTCCCTTATTTTACAACTAGAAAAAAGAGGCTCAGAAGTGTTAAGTGATCTGTCTGAGGCCACCCACAACTAGAACTCAATCCCCAGCTAGAGCAGGGGCTTCCCGAATTATGCCGCACTGGCCCATCAGAGTCTCCACCCTCTGGCCATCTCTGTAAGAAAGCTGAACCAAGGCAGCTGGGAACCTCAGCTGAGAATGCCCACATGGGATGACTCAAATTTTTTCCCTCTCCTCGCAAATCCACGAATAACCCCCAAAGTACCATGAGTATTAATTTGGGGATTACAAATAAACTTAACAACTAGGTGAATGGGCAAAACAAAATGTGCGAATAATGAAGGTCAACTGATCTGTTTTTAAAAAGTGCAGGTCATTTAACCATTTAAATAATAACTATCAAAAAGAGCTAACATAAGCATTTTGATCCAAACAGAGTGGAGGGAGTACCGTGTGTATCTTACCTTGTTTTTGAGCTTGGAAAGATTTCCCACCTCCATTATAGTGCTTTGTGCCTCTATCCGCCATGAAGCCAGAGGATAAAGTCACGTTGGTGGGCTGATTTCTCATTTTCTTAGCATGTTTTCTTTCTTTTGCATTAGACATTTCTGGAAAGAAAATAATAAATTTGGTATAGGGAAAGGGAACTTCCATGCAAAAATAAAAAAACACTGGGGCGCCTGGGTGGCGCAGTCGGTTAAGCGTCGGACTTCAGCCAGGTCACGATCTCACGGTCCGTGAGTTCGAGCCCCGCGTCGGGCTCTGGGCTGATGGCTCAGAGCCTGGAGCCTGTTTCCGATTCTGTGTCTCCCTCTCTCTCTGCCCCTCACCCGTTCATGCTCTGTCTCTCTCTGTCCCAAAAATAAATAAACGTTGGAAAAAAAAAATTTTTTTTTTTAAAAATAAAAAAACATTTAGTAAATAAATATTCCTGTAACTCAAAATTTGATTCTTCGGTAAAATAAATCTTCATTTATTATAGGTGGATTGATGATATCAAAATGCTATCGCGATCCTGACCTACAGCAGAGATTCATCACCAGGGCATCTCTAGGGGAGCCATGAATGGTATTAACACCACAAACCCAATTTAAAAGAAAAAAAAAAAAAAGTCTATTGATGGAAGAGACCATTATTAGTATATTCCAGATCACACCTAGCAGAGTGCCTTGCACAAAGTGGGGCTCAACATAAATTTGCTCAGTGTACACGTGCATGCATAAATGGAGTGAAGTGTGCCTATAATACATTTATGAACAGAATAAGAAATATTTGGCCAAGTACCACGCCTTCTGACACAGCATGACTATCTGCCAAGAGACCAGCCTATCTTCCTTTTTGAAAGCAGATCCCAGTCACCAGGGCTCTCACTTCAGATGTGAGGGGGATGCGTGGAGACCTGTAAAGCTAGAAGAGGCACCCGTGAAAGGGAACATGGGAGGGGCGTTAGGTGGACGACGACGCCCAGATCTCAGCATGGTCCCCTGAACGACCCAACTCATTCCTTAGAGTGGTCAGCAGGATAGGGGTGCAAGCCCATTCCCAGAACGGCGTCCGTCGGGCGGGACAATGCGAGAAAATGACCGACGCAGGGGGCTCGAGCACAGGGGCCGTAGGAGGCGCGGGGCCCCAAAGCGGGGCCCAGGCGCAAGCTGCAAGGGACGAAGAGGAGGTCAGCGGGGTCTGAGCGGAAGAAAACCGGGAGGAAAGCCGGCACGGTGCGCGGGCGCCGGGCGGGGGACCGCCACGCACACTCCCCCCAAACTCGCGGACCCTGGGGGACACCAGCCCGTCACGACCTACCTGCCAAAGGCTCTCAGGCAGGGCTCCTCGGGTCAGAACGACAAGGCTCTGCAACACTCCCCTCCGTGGAGACGTGTGCGGCAAGCGATCTGCAGGGCGCATGCGCCAGCGCGGCCGTGGCTTCCACGTGGCCGGGAGCCTCGCACAGACTACAACTCCCAGAATGCGGAGTGAACCCCCTCCCCCCGCCCGGGAAACAAGTTACCTCGGGGATTCTGCCCTGGGTTGGTCAGTCCCGTGAGACGCAAGCCGGGGCGGTGTGCAGCATTTCTCTCTTGGAGGGGCAGCAAGTAAAAGGGTTAGCTATGGCATCTTTAATCAGAAAGGTGATCAGCACTGCGAAAGCTCCAGGGGCCATCGGTCCGTACAGGTAACGACGCGGGCGGGTGCGCGGATGGACTCTGGGCTTGTGGCGTCGGGGATCCGAGGTTGGAATAACTCTGGGTCAGACCTGGAGCGGGCTTCGACCTTCATCGGGTCCAGCCTCCTCGAACACGCTGAACCCGGGAAACTGAACCCGGGAAAGGGGTTAACATACCCTTTCCAGTGGGAGCCCCACTGGCAACAGGAGCTTGTGTTCCCTGGGACTCTGCCCGGACCTGGAGGCCACAGAGTTCTGCCTGCCAAGTAGTCAGGTTTTTTTTAATTTTTGGACTTTTTTTTGTTTGTAACCATTTTATCCAGATATACTTCACATGCCCATAAAATTCACCCCCTTAAAGTGTACAAGTCAGTGTTGTTGTTGTCGTTATTGTTTTTATTATACTCACAAAATACTCACTACTACATAATTTCAGAATATGTTAATCACCTCCAAAAGAAACCGCATACCCATTAGCAGTGACTCCCCATTCTTTCCTGCTAACCCCTGGCAACCACTAATTTACTTTCAGTTTCTGTGGATTTGCCTGTTCTGGACTTCTGTAAATGGAATCCTACGATATGTGGTCCTGTGTGACTGACTTCTTTCACTTCGTATAATGTTTGGTCTAACCCTCTCTTAATTCAAAGGAATAAATCCCATGAACAGATGTGAGTGTCTCTCTGGAGAGCTGAATTTTTTTGACAGAGACGCTTAGAAAATCGCTGCTCATCTACCTAAGACACTGATATTTACAACCCAAAGAGAAATGCAGTGGGATGTGTATAAATTAGTTGCCCATGCTTATTTCCCACTAATAAAAACAGCACAACGAAAATCATTTGCTAAGATTGCCCTGACATGCTCTAGCTAAATGTGTATATACTGGCCAGAAAGTCTACACTGCGTACATGTACTCCCACTTGTCAGAAGTGCTGTTAATATAAAAAACTTAATTGCTTTTTTTTTAAGTTTATTTATTTATTTTGAGAGAAAGAGAGAGAAGAGAGAATCCCAGGCTGATAGCGCAGAGCCCGGTGTGGGGCTCATTCCCACAAACCTCAAGATTATGACCTGAGCCGAAATCAAGAGTCTGATGCTTAATCGACTGAGCCATCCAGAAGTTTCTAAATTACTTTTTTAAAAAAACTGTATTTTCTGAAAATGTCTCAGCTTTAAAACTATTAAATCTCATCCTATGCATTCTTGGAGACTTTTTGTCTCTAATATAATTTTTGTTACTTTAAATACTTCATAAAGTATACCATATAACCCTTTCCCCATTTTTCCTTTTAAAAATGTAGTATCTGATCACGGTTAAAAGAATCACAGATGGAAAACTTCTACAACTGAACCACTTGGACTATGATATAATACATGTATTGAGTACCTACCCTATGTCAAGCACAGCAGAGAATGCAAAAAATGTATAAGAATCAATCCAGTGTGAAAGACATTCACACACGTAAAGGAGAGAAAGGGAAACATTTTCATTCAGTGCATGCTGCATGGCGGCCACTGTGACAACCACCTTCTTCTCTGAGTCCCATCCTCATTTTATAAAAAAAAAAAAAAAACAACCTGTGTCCGAGGTCAGACAGTCCATAAGTGGCAGAACTGGATTTGAACAAGCCCTAGCTCCGTCCTCTAAACCACACTGCCATGAGAAATAGCACTCCTAGGTGGCAGAACAATAATTACAATAGCAGGGTTAGAAATAAGTGCAGTGGGAATAAGGAGTCATGGGGGCAGGGATGGCAAAAAAAAGGAGAAGAAAGAAATTGCTGGTAACTGGGGACAGAGGAAGAGAAAGATTTAAGAGGACTCCTGCGACAGGTGGTCCTTGAGCTGGGTTTTGAAGGGTAGGTTTGCCATTTATATAGTACTGTTGTAAAGTGATTTTTAAATTACTTTATTAAGAACTTCAGCAGAAAGTCATTGGGCGAAGTTCATTCCAGAACGAGGGAATGACTTGAGGCATAGTGGTGGAAGAATACATGGCGTATTTTTTGGAGGAAGTTTTAGTAATCCAACTACGACTTTTACTCTTTTTCTTTTCCATTTGCCAAATCTGTGTGCCACCTATATCATAATTTACTTAACACTTTTATTTAAGAGGGCTCACTTTAACACCTTTAAAAGGGAAACTTTACAACAGTACTCTAAATAGAAAACAACCTGAGGAAGGTAACAGTAAAAAAAAAAATAAGCTCAAATAAGTAAAAAGCGTAATTCTGGGAAGCTGCCACAGTTGTCTCAGAACCTAAGACTGCTCTCTCTGTTAAAAGTGATAAATTTCAGGGGCGCCTGGGTGGCTCAGTTGGTTAAGTGGCAGACTTCAGGTCAGGTCATGATCTCACGGTCTGTGGGTTCAAGCACCGTGTTGGGCTCTGGGCTGACAGCTCAGAGCCCGCTTTGGTTCTCTGTCTCCTTCTCTATCTGCCCTTCCCCTGCTCATGCTCTCTCTCTCTCTCTCTCTTTCTCTCTCTCAAAAATAAATAAACTTAAAAAAAAAGTGATAAATTTCAGGGCACCTGGGTAGCTCAGTAGATTAAGTGTTGGGCTTTTTTTTTTTTTTTTTTTTTTTTTTTTTTCAGAGAGGGAGAGCTCAAGCTGGATGGGGGCAATGCAGAGAGGGCAGAGGGGGAGAGAATCTTTAAGCAGGCTCCACACTCAGCCTGACACAGGGCTTGATCCTTTGACCTTGAGATCATGACCTGAGCCAAAAACAAGCATCCAGTGCTCAGTCAACTGAGTCACCCAGGTGCCCCAAGCATCTGAGTCTTGGTCTCAGCTCAGGTCTTGATCTCAGGATCATGAGATCAAGCCCCACATTGGGCTCTACACTGGGCATGAAGCCTACTTTAAAAAAAGAGAAAAAAAAGTGGTAAGATTTTTTCCCCCTAAAAATGGTATTTTTTCTTTCATATAACTAGAGGATTGATGTCATAATCGCTAACATTTAATGATGTTCACTCAGCACAAAGCACTCTTCTAGGTGCTTAGGTGCACAGTTATTATTACAGTATTCGTTTTTCGGGTGAAGAAATTGATCTACTTGTGGTTAAATAATATGCCCAAGGTCGACCACTAGGATGGGATATGACAGAATTTAAACTTAGTCAAGCTCTAGAGCTCAATCTTCATCATTTAGTTTGCTATCTCCTGCTATGGAATTACTGAAAGAAAATTGAAAAGGGAATCATTTCCTTACTGTGATTCAGTGTTTGTATATGACCTACACTTTGGGAAACACAGGTTCAGAGTTGGACTTTGAATCTAAATTTTTGTTTTGCTTCTTGCTAAAAATTAGCTTTTAGCAAGGTCTGGACTATGATCATTTTCAGTGCTAAACTGAAGAGTATAAACTTTATTTTGTATGCGTTGAGGAGCATTCGAATGTTTTTGTAGAGGAAATGACATGATCAGATTTCTTTTTTTT